TGGTGGCAGGCACCTGTAATCCCAGCAACTTGGGTGGCTGAGGCAGGAGAATTGCTTGAACCGGGAGGCGGTAGTTGCAATGAGCCAAGATTACACAACATCACTCTCCAGTCTGGGTGACAGAAGGAGACTGTGTCTCAAAACAAAACAAAACAAAACAATAAAAACAAACGTCATTCTGGTTGCTATACTGAGGATATATTGTAGCGGAAAAATAGAAGTCCCTGTTAAGAAACTATTGCAATCATTTTGGTAACATATGATGGTGGTTGGTGAGTAATTTAGGCAAACACTTGTTAGTCAAGGTAGTAAAACGTGTCACGGGTCTGTATATAGCTTGAAATTTGAGACTACTGGATTTACTGATGCGTTGGATATGGTATATGAAAGAGAGAACTAAAATATATTTATAAGATTTCTGGTCTAAAAAACCAAAAGGAAAGAGCTTTAACTTACTAATATAGGAAATATTTGGAGGGAACACGAAGGATAGAGAAGAGATGAGAAAATGAGAGGCTCGGTTTGAGTTTATTTGCAGAAGTCTAGCATATGTCCAATGATGATATGGATGTGATGTGACATGTGATTTTTTTCTTCTGCTGCTATTCCAACAATCAACACCCCAGCCAACTGGTAGTCTCCTCTCAACTCAGTCTTTTCTAGGCACTCTGGCTTCCTTGCTTTTCCACAAATTTCCCAGGCATTCTCCTCTCTCAGGGGGCTTCCCACTTGATCTTCCCTTTGTCAGAAATGCACCTCTCACATTTTCCATATGGCTTACTTCCGCACTTCCTTAAAGTCTTTGCTGAAATGCCACATTCTCTGTGATGTTTTGCTCAGCTGCTATATTAAATATCATAACAATCTCCTCCCCAGCCAAGTGATATGGAGTTGACAGTTAATTACAGGAGTTCAGGGGAAATACCTGAATGGAAGATACAAATTTCAGAGTTGTCAGTTTATGGATGATAATCTATTTGGATGTATATAGAAGAGAAAGAGGTCTGAGGACTGAGTCTTAGGGCATCCCCAACATGTCAGGTCTACAGAGTTGAAAAGAAATGGTCAGTAAACTGGGAAGCAAATCAAAAACTGTATTGTTCTGGAAGCCAAGTGAAGAAGGTAAAGGAGCAAGAAGTAATTAACTGTTATTAAGTAATGTCATTAATTAACATTAATTAAGTAATGTCAAATGTTGTCCATTACTTAAAGTAAGATGAGTAAATATTGACCATTGATTTAGCAATGTAATCAATATTTCCTTTCACTAGGGAGAAGAAGCAAATGGAATAACTAAAGACTCAGAGAGCCTGCTGCCTCATTTTAAGTCCTCCTTACATTATCTCAACTTCTACTGTTTCCATGGACCTCTGAATTAATTATGAAATTCTTGTATATTTTATTTTCTTTTGTTGTGTTTTATGCTCCAGTAATCAGCATCTTACATCTGGGCAATACCTGATTTCATGTCGATATTTTCAATGTGATCTTTATTAAATTTATCTGAGAAAGCTAAGACAACATTATTATCATTATTTTAGAAAACGCAGTTTGAATAAATAACTGTTTACTGTCATACTGCTGATTATTGGTGACCAAAGCTTCCTACCTCCTACAAGCTAAACTGACACCTTTAATTTCAATAAAGAGAGTAGCTTTAATTTCAATAAAGTAGAGGTGCTTCTTTGCTTGCTCTTTGGACCTTCCTTTATGCATGCCCACTTTTATTCATACCTTCTATTTATTCACACTTAATTCCTTGAATCTTGGTCTTCAATCCTTTCGAACAGCTGCATGCCATGACCTTTAAAGACAAATATTGATATGACTTCAGAGCTTCAGGAAATTTTGACATATGTCAGCCTCTAAATCCAGAGGATAGTTTTCACATTTCCTGAACTCCAGCCACTTCTGAAGGATATAGTCCTTCTTATAAAGAAAAAAGCCAGTTGAATAACCAGGACTGTGAAGTTGAATATATGTGCGCCCATTCTCTTGTAACAAAGATGTAGATAAATGGTCAACCGTCCGAGTACTCGGTGAATCTTATACACTATCACAGTGCAAGTTCTCTTTCTTCTCCTACAGATTCTTTTCAAGCTTTGCTTACTTCTACTCTTATAATCAAACATAAAAAGTCCCTAGAACCTTAGTGATCTAATAGACCATATTGCTATATATAGTAATCATCCATCTGCAGCTTGGCTTTCCAGTGATGACAATTCACTGTCATCAATTCATGCACATAAGAATGCAGTTGGACAAAAAAATTAATCATACATTTTAAGTGATATCAAATGTACCCCATAAATATGTACAACTATTATGTACCTATACATTTTTTAAATCATGCACATGGTGGACTGTCTCCGTGTCAATTTTCTGGTTGTGATACTGTTCAAAAGTTATGTAAGATGCTACCACTGGGGTAAACTAAATGAAGAGTATATGGAATCTCCGTATTAGTTCTTAAGATGGGATGTGAATTTAAAATTATCACAGAATAAGCTATTTTAATTTTAAGTATATATTTTTAAAATTATACAGGTAAAATTGCACTCATGGTCAGATTTTGTATTCCATGACCGTCGCACTGTCATGATGCTGGGAAGGAAATATACTAGAGAAAAAATAATGTCTTCGGCCGAAACTATTAGGCTGGTCTTTGGAAGTGGCATGGGGAAGTCACAGAAGTAAATGATAAATGGCAATCTGGAAAGAGAAAGGTAGTAATGAATATAAATTTTGATTTTAGCACCGAATATAATAGTGGTGTTTGCAGTATTATTGTGACTATAGGCTCCATCTCCACTCAGCTGACATACTCCCAGCTGCTGCAGAATCATGCATTTTTTTTTGACAAGAATTATTTAATCCATGTATCTAGTTGGTCATTATTGCAGTTTCTGAAGCAAAACCAAATATGCTGCCCGTATTTCCATTCTATCTCTTTTCTAGTTATCTGGCCTCCCCTTCCTTTCCCAGAAATTCTTAAGATCATTGACTCCGCTGACGGAAGTCAGGCTTCTGACTGCCTAATAAATAAGTTCACCAGTGAAAAGCCTATTTTTCATTCTGTTTAATTACAGACTTCAGAGACACTCAAAATGGAGGGTGTCTTGGGGACAAATAATACTGTAGGCTTGGTTTACTTTTCTCCTATTGGCATTGGCACCAAGCCCTTCCTCTGCTTTGAAATTCATGGCTGTGACTGTGGCTGCATACTAAACAGTCCGTGGTCACTGCACAGCCTGCTTCACCCATCCAGATGCAGCCCAACTAATCTGTAGACCGTGATGGCCAACTCTGTGGGGTGGTTTAGGTAACTAACACTGCTGGTTTGTTTCTAGCACAATCTATGTGTGTGATCATAAACGGGTTCATATATTACAATTTGAATTGAATTTGGTGAACTACACTGGAGCTTGAATTACAATATTCTCATTCTGCATTGTAGATCATGACCTTCAAAATTGGCCCTTAGAAGTGACTGTATGCATAAAACAATTAGATGATATATAGGCAGTGTAAAAATATCAAAAATATAAGAAACTAACAGTGCAAAGTAAGTTTCCTTCCCACTCTTGTTTCTTAGTTTCCAATTTCCCTTTTACAGAGCAACCACTGTTAGCAGTTTCACGCAGAGACATCCTATGCATATATAAATATATATGCCTAAGTTTTATGGATGGAGAAAATACTACAGCTCTACCTTCCTATGTTTTGCATACAAAGGAAACATGATGTATTCAATATTCTGTGTTTTTGTTCCTTTTATTCAGTAACTACAAGCAACCTCTCTATATCAGCATCTGTGATCTGTCTCCACCTTTTAAAACAGATTCCTGGTATTCTGTTGAACATATATAACAATTTTGCACTTAGTCTTTCAAAGTTTCATGAATTTTTGCTGTTTCTAATATTTTCTTAACACCAAAAATGCTTTGATGAACATCATTGCGTATAATAATTTGTGCCATGTGTAAGGGTATTTGTAGGATACATTCATGTACCTTATAAGAATACTCAATTTAAGGGTATATTTCCTTTTTATGTTGATGTATATCGTTTTCCAAAGAAGCTGTAAGGTTTTCCCAACCACACATGACAGTATTTGTTTCCCTGTACTTATTCTTCCTCCCTATATTATCAGTTTTTGAACTTGCCAATCTGCTTATAATTCTAAAGTATGTTTATCTAATCATGAATAAGGTTAAGCATCTTAACAATCATTTGTTACGTTTTTCCACATAACCATTCAGCTCTTCATTGTTCCCTGAAAGATATCCATCTTCCCTTCAAGCTAGTTTAAAATGGCAGCTTAAATAAATTTGTTGATTTGAGTCTAACCTCTCCATTTCCGAACTCTCTATTCTTTTACGTGTATCTTACTATTTACATCTATCAGTACCATTTTTTTGTACTGCTTAATGTCATTGCTTAAGACATCTTAATATACAATGGTTTAGCGCCTCTTCTTTTTTCAGAATTTCCCCAGATATTCTTGCCTTTTTGTCAGTTGTAGTGATGGAATTGTTTTATAAAATATACACTGAAATATACCTTGTTGAAATATACCTTGTATATCATAACAATGAGACAGGGAAAGATTTATGCCTAAAGTTGGTTTAGATCTGGAACTGAAAATGGTGTGCAGGAGAGAACAAAGTGTACTAACAAAGGAAAGAGAATTGAATAAATGTTCCAAACATGAGATACTATTAGAAACCCAAAAGCTCCCTGAATAAAACATGCTCTTGAATGTGGAAAGTTATTTAAGTAGCCAGCTAACTCTGTAAGTCAGCATTTATAACCCCTACTTTTAAAGACCTTGACAAACAGTGCTAAAGTTCTGACCTTAAACTCAAATTCCTTGGGCTCTTAGTACCTGCAAACATGCACCCAACATTCCTTCCCCTAGCATGCACTTCACCAGTCACAAGAAGCCATCATTAATCCATGTCCTGGTAGGAAGCATAACTTATAGAGAAGCTAGTACATTCTGAGAAAGAAGGAAGTAAAAAGAGGCAGCAAACCACTACCCTAACCTGATTGTCCTTTAAACATGTCAAGATCCAGACTTTTCAGTGTCACTTCAGTGATCTCAACATTAGGGATCTTGTGTTTGCTGCTATTCCAGGTAACTATCTCTCTTTCTAGGAAAAGGTTTTCAGGGTTACTCTGAGTGCTTGATTTGCTATAGATCTGTATGTGAGCAACTTAACTGCTTCTACATTTAAAGGATTTCCTTCAAGTGTTACTAGCATCTTATGATTTATTGTATTCATTGGTCAAAGGGACAAAAAATGTCCATAACATTAGTCTTATTTCTCCTTTAATTAGTTCTATTGCTATTGAAATAATGTGATTGCAAATTTAACCTTTGTTTAACTTTGCTATGCTGTATTTTTTAAATTCAAAATGCTATTGACACAGAAAAAAAATGCTATGGCTGGATTAATTTAAGATGTGTTTACTGTTGCCTGCAACCATACTTGATGCCTGACAGTTTTTCAGTGCTGACTGATGTAGACAGAACCATTTTAGCATTTATTTCAGTTCCTCTGCTCCAGTATCCCTTTCTGACTAACCTGTATCTCTGTATCTGTGTTACTTCAATGCAAGGTATCTGAAACATTTAGATCTAAAGTATATTACAGCTTTGCCTACCTCTTCATAATAACTGGAAGTTTGACAGCTAATGTGTTGGCAGTGAGGTGCTAATAATGTAATACTGTGTACTGTTTCTAGGGTACAACACACAGAAAAGACATGGAAGTGACTTGAAAGTGAAATGCTGGCTTTATTTGTTTATCTGTTAAGCTGGATCCCAAATGATTTCATCTACTCTTAAATAAACTTTCTTTATGGACAAAATGTGAATGTTCATTTTCCTTTTACTTAGTATGCAAATCTATTTGCAGCATTCTAGCAAAAAAGAATGCAACTCATTTTCTGTGCTTATAAATTGTTCATTACCATGCTCTCTAATGGCCAATTCATGGCTCCATCTGCAACTCCACAAATCTCTTTGCCCAGATAAACTTGGTGGAGTAAATACAAGGTGCTGAAGAAGATGCATTTGGGATTAAGTGGGGGAAGACGCATCTCACACAGAATTCCCAAGTCAATCATTTAAATTGTGTAACTTCTTACTTGTACTTTTATTTGCATGTTATAGTCCGGGAAAATAAATACTTCAACTGACTTCATAAACTCAGTGTTTAGAGCTACAGATAATTGCCATTTGAAGACGTTCTCATTGCACAAGGAAAGAGTCCTGGTTCAAAGGGTCAAGCAAGCAAACAAACAATAAAACGTTTAGAAAGAAGCGCCTTTTTCCTTGTGATTTAGGGTATGAGATGTTGTAACCTATGACACTCAGCTCAGAAAACTAAGAGCATTATTTTAGAATGCTTATAGAATCGAACATTTCAAACAAAGCAACAGTGATGATTACTTTTTTCTCTTCTCTGATAAAGAGAAGACTGTAAATATCACCTGTAATGTCATGTGATCTTAAATGGACCTTAGCCTTAGATCAGGTTAAAGCCACCCTTTCATGCTTATATTTAATACCTATTACTGATAGGATTGACTTTTGTTTCCACTTATGTACTTGGAACTTGTTTTTTTTTTTTTTTTTTTTTGAGTGAAAATAATACTTACAAATAAGGAACCTCTGTCCTCTAGCTAAAACATGAAAATAAAAAATGTATGGTGAACAAAAACTCTTTAGAGAAAGCAAAATCTACTTATAGAAAAAACAGAAGTTGTCGTAAAATCCATTTATATTGGTATGTGAAAATGGAATCTGGTTCAAAATATATACCTTCTGCCGCTGCTGAGCTTAAGAATCCACCCAGAGATTTTTTTCAATTAAAATTCTGTGTACCGACAATAAACTCTGCTACAGAGCTTTTAATTAAAAAAGCAAACGAAATGATATAAACCCACATTGTCTCTAGGCACTGCTGGTATTAAAGGATTAGACTGATGAGATGTTTGGATTTTATCGTTCTAAACATGTGTTTCAGTTGGTGCTCTCGGACCTACCATGTGAAGAAGATGAAATGTAAGTAAACAGTGAAATACTACATGTTTTTTATTTAGTATTTAAGAAATTCAAAGTATAAAAAAAGGCTCAAGTCATTAGCAAAGGCCAAATTGAATTTCAAATGATCATTATAATTACGTAAGAAGAAAAGTAAATAGTTTGTAAATGCAGATGACTCATTTTTTTGAAAACAGGAAAGGTAATTTTCATTATGATCGGTTTTGTTAAATAAATAAGGGGCCTAGCTGATTTGCAGATGTTTCTGCACACTGAATTTCTCTCCTGCAAGGTTTCAAGGTTACTTTTAAGTTCACAGAAGAATCACAATGTTATGCGTGGGTGCATCCAAACTCAAAAGTCACAGTGACCAAGGGAGGCGATTTTCTGTACAACTCATTTTAAAATGCAAACAAACTAACCAAAATTCTAACCTGTATTGTGTGTATATTTCAAACCGCTTGTGATATGAATTATGTGAATAATTTACTTATTTTTTTTCACTTTTTGTGCTATAGACAATGGTTCTCAGAATCCTGTTAAGGAGATGAAGAGGTGTCATTAACAGTTCTACTGATAAGTAATAGCTGTAATTCATTGTGACTTAGTGCAAATATCAGCAAAGCACTTCCACCCAGCGCTGTCTTCTCCTGGCTGCAGCCCTTACTGTTAGCCAGCTGTTTTCAGTTTTCTTTCTTTTCTTCCTTCCTCCCTCAATCCTTCCCCTTCTCTCTTTCTCTCTTTCTTTTCCTTCCTTCCTTCTTTCTTTCCCTCCCTCCCTCCCTCTCTCTCTTTCTTTCTTTCTTTCTCTTTCTTTCTTTCTTTGTTTCTTTCTTTCTCTTTCTTTCTTTCCTTCTTTCTTTTCTTTCCTTCTTTCTTTCTTTTTCTTTCTTTCCTTTCTTTCTTTCTTTCTTTCTTTCTTTCTTTCTTTCTTTCTTT